AGTTTATGGGTATATTATAACATGTAAATTAGTGAAAATTATGGGTTAAGGTGAAAACCTATGGTTTTGATAAAAATGAGATTTAACCACTAAATTTGTTATGGAATATAGTAAAAATTATATATTTGAGTTCATGAGGTTATGGGTAACAACTTTCTTCGAACATTTCCGGAATCCGGGCACGTGGGCCTGGGGGTGAATTTTAGGAATCCTATATTTGGGGTTGGGTAGTCCCTTTAATAGTTTGAATATGAACTTTTGAACATATATTGATTTATTATTAAAACATTTGACTTGTTTTGGACTGTTCGGCACCAAATTGAGGGTTTGAGCATAATCTTGGACCGGAAAGTAGGCTTTGAGACGAGATTAGTTTCTTTTCTAACCTTGTAAGAGGGAATTAACCCCATATGTGAACTTAATTAATTTGTGCTCCTAATTGTGGGGATTACCTACGCACGAGGTAATGAGAGTCCGTACGTAGTTACTATTTATGCTTATGTCCGGGAAGTTTTAGGTTTACACTATGCTTTGTTGACGTCGTTATTTGATTATGCTAATTAATTGCCTTGAATAGATCTGAGGTTGAGGATTTCAAGATTTTAAAAGTTCCTAGTTGAATTTCTTGTTTTGGAAAGAATTGAGGGATATTATGATAACTTGAGAAATTTATGTTCAACCGCGTCGCAAGTATATTCTGCGAGCGGGGTAAATTTATACTACTCTCATAGGAGCGGGTCGTTTTCCTCGGCAAGTTAATAGATGTGTCTATGGTCCATGCCGTCCGACCCTCGGTAGTGCACAGAGTATGTGTATATGTATATTTGGATTGGGTCATACGTCCTTAGCATAATTCGTGCCTAATAATACTGGAAGCCCTATTATATTTGATATCATTTCATTAGCTTGAGAGGTTAAATGAGGGAAATGATTTGGTTCTTACTAACAGTGAAAAGAATGTTTATTTGTTTCTTTATCCGAGTTCTATTTTCATATATATATNAAGATACTTACTGGGTACATGTTGTTTATGTACTCATGCTATACTTATGCACTAAATGTGCAGGATTTGAGGTAGGTGCATCTGGATATCAGTCCGGCATGCATCCCTGATTCCCGAGACTTGGCGGTGTGCTGCCCTTTTGAGCCCGTTCTGTAGTAGTCGAGGTCTTTCTATTGCTTGTATATTTTGTCTATTTCACTTCAAACAGTACACTAGTATTCTTTTGTATATTCTACTAGTTGCTCATACACTTGTGACACCAGGTCTTGGCACACACTAGTAGACTTGTGGTTTTTGTTTATTTCTACGGTTATGATTGCACTTAGTTGCTTTCGTTTTATTTATTTTATATCTGTTATTTCTTAAATCTTTTAAATTAAGGAAAGTTTAATTACTTGGAAATCTATAAAAAAGAGAAATCACATGGTTAGTTCACTGTTGGCTTGCCTAGCAGTGGCGCTGGGCGCCATCACTGCCTATAATAGAATTGGGTCGTGACCCATACCATCCTCGAGCTAGCTTAGGCCACATTTTTACAATCCACAACCACGAAACAACCTGCTCCTGAGAATTCCCGGTCTCCAAATCCATAGAATACACGAATCACCATATCTGAGCCCAACTCCACAGCCCGAATGTCCAACACGTCTCTTATACGCAATCATCCTGCGAGGAACACTTATATAGTTCTTCTGCACCACATAGAAAAATCTGAATATCAGCAGTCGATCAACCAGGCGAGTACCGCAATACCAATGAAGAATCTGTAAGTTAAGACACAATGCGCCTTTTGAACATTGAAAATCGTCCATGTCGTCTAAGAATTTATAACCTTCCCTTCAAAACTAAATCGTGACCTTGCAAACGCAAATCTTAATCCCACAAAACACACTGCATATATGAAAAGTACGAGAACCTTATAATCAACTCTGAGTCACCAGCAGAACACATACCCGATCAGTCAGAAACCTTCAATTGATCCCATCTTGGAGAAAATCACAATAAGCAACATGCTCCTCGCGCTGACAGGAAATATCCATCTCAAACCGTGATAAAAATCATTGAGAATACCTCGAAGTCCAATTGCACATAGACAAGCCATAAAAAATGAATCTCTCTAACTCAACCAAGCCACGCAGGTCACCAAACCCAAAGGTATGTCCATAAAATGCCTGTAGAGACTCACCTCATCGCAAATACCCAAAGAATCGGTCATATCCATTACCGTGCTGATCCAACCTACTATTAAATTGTCCTATTTCTCCGAGTTCCTTCCGAATTATCCTCAAGTTGAATCTTCCCCTTGCTAAAACATCACGATCCATACCCAAACTCACCACAAGGGATCCTAGCATAAAATCACATCGCGCTAAGGCCCATAAGCCGGTGTATTCCTTCTTAAGCATCCCAAAAGTACCACAACCGAGACACATATTCTGAAGAGACCTCTTGTGAATCTAAAGTTGTTAGCTTCACCTACCTGATACAGAGACATAGAATCCATAGTGATATAGACATACTACAAGTGTCATCCACTCCGAAAAATCCTCAAATGCCACATATGAATCAGTCAGAAAAAGTTCATCCACTCTTTAGAACCTCCTCGAGTGTCATCCACTCTGCTCAAATCTCAATTGCATCGCCTAAACGGGACGAACGACCTATCCCCCCTTAGCAAGGCGACACCCAAGAAGTAATCCACACATCTAAGCAACCGAGCAAATTACTACTCCATGCGCACTACATCCTTCAAGAATAACAACTCAATCATTCCCTGATTCCCATATACCCATAAAGTGTAATATATCATGCATCCAAAAAAGTTCGTGCCTAAGTCATCCTCAAAACCATATTCTGCAAGTCCTATCCAATCCACAAGTATGCCTCAGACTGAAACCGACACAACACATAACTGTTCATCAACTCGTCGATTGCAAACTTCCCCACTTGGCTCAAAGCTATGGAATAAAATATCAGATAACTTACAATAACCATACCCCATTACTGCCATAATACCGTAGTGAGATTCAACTAAATCCTTCATAAGTTCATGTAACACAAACCATATAATACCTCAAATCATCTACAAATTTCGCATTCCTCCTCGTGACTGTCAAGTCAACTATTGCAACCGATCCAAACTTAAATCGCACAAATATAACCCATTTGTAAAAAGAAAGCCTCCACACAACATCATAAGGATCACACATCCGTAGATTACCCCACAGGTTGTAATCCACATGCTTGGCCTCAAACTGACATCTCTCTATACACTTTTCACAACCACAACTACTACACATTCACTTAATCTTCCTGAGTCTGAACTCATAAAAAAGGCATGAGAATCTAAATCGTTCCACAACTAGGCAACATGAAAGACCCTTCAACCCACTCATAACTCGAGACTATACATCACATCAAGACAGAAATCAAACACCCAATAGTCCTTTTTACATCTCAAGCAAACTCTTTTAGTCACATTCAAACTATTCGAACATTTCCTGCAGTCACATCTTACTCATCATATAGTCATCCAACCACATGCCGAGCCTCAAATTCCACACATAGGAAAACTACCATACATATAAGCCCAAAATCACAAGCTCACATAATCTAAATCCTCGTGCTCAAGCTACAGTCAAAACCTGACCTCAAGTCCTCCAGACTGGCCCAACATCAGCACACAGAATTCACATATCGCACCTTATCCATGGAATCATAAGCCTTCGATGCACAGCTGATACCGAGCGCTCTCATGCTCATAAGAATGCGTCGAAGGAATTCAAAGAGTTACGCTTTATGTTGAATCAATGTCGCACGATAAAGGAAAGAAAGATGGGAAGTTTATCCTAAATTCCTTGTAGCTTCTCGAATATAGTTATGGATGTCAACATACCGATCCGCAAGACTCTACTAGACAGTTGGTTGTTACATTTGAAGGAATTTGATTATCTCAGCTGATTAAACAAATTATTGTAAATTCTGTAAACCATGCTAATTTAAATATTCTAGTTATATTTCAGTTATTATTATTGACCCATAGTGAGTATCAAAGTCGGCCATCTCGTCTCTACCACTTCGAGATTAGGCTTGATACTTACTGGGTACACTTTGTTTATGTACTAATACTACACTTGCTGCACTTTTTGTGCAGGATCTGAGACAGGTACTAGTGGAGGACCTATCATCACATACCCACGTCATTCCTAGGCATAGTGGTGAGCTGCCTTTCTTAGCCGTTCTGCAGCTACCAATGTCTCTTCTTATATTTATATTCTGTCTATTTCATTTCAGACAGTATTTGGAGTTTTGTATAATCTACTAGATGCTCATGGACTTGATGGGGTTGTTGGTGTTGACCATTCTGATGTGCTTCTAAGAAAATAGGAAGCTAATTGATGTGACAATTTTGCGGTCGAATTAGGTTATCTTTTAAGGCTAGGTGGAAATTAACTATCTCCATTCAAGTAATGTATCATTATCTGCTCTGTCACTTTCCCTTTAATCCAGCTAAGGTAGTTAATTCTGCCCACCGCCCATGAAAAAAATGCTGTGCTAGCATAGCAAATTACCAGCCTGTCATTGTGTTTTGGTCCTTTTGGATTATTTTTCTTTCCACTTTGACTACCATGTGAGTCCAACAAACCAGGAACGACAGATATAATTTTGGTTACTCTACCCAAAGGCTAGGATGAACCCTACCCCACATGGTTTATAATTGTTCTAGTGCTATTTCCGTCACATATGAGGTTTTGAAGATGATCAGTCGGATGACCTCATTGACCACCATGCGGTGTAGTCGGTGCTCATAACTGCTGTAGAGTCCATAGAGCTAAGTTCTTCATAATACATGAGAAGGATCAGTCAGGTAAATAATTACAAATGCATGCTGCTTCCCCTTTAGGAAGCAGATTTCAAAAACTTGAACCTTTCCGGACAAATAATATTATTTGAGAAATGCAAGAATTAGGTCCACAAATTTACCTTTTTCTTTTTCATCATGATTTTAGCTGCAGCCTGCAACAAGAGGAAAGATCCCTCATAAGAAACTGTTGAAGAGTCCCACATCGGTCATAAAGGGATGGGTGGTCGCTTTATATGGCTTGGGCAATCCTCGACTCATGAGCTAGCTTTTGGGGTTGAGTTAGGCCCAAGATCTATTTCTTTAACATGGTACACCCATGCCAATTCTTGTTTTCCAATGTTGGGCCCCCATATTAAATTGTCCACGCTCTAAATGTCTAGCCCTGGGCATGGGGGGGTGTTGAAGAGTCCCACATCGGTCCATAAAGGGATGGATGGTTGCTTTATATGGCTTGAGCAATCCTCACCTCATGAGCTAGCTTTTGAGGTTGAGTTAGGCCCAATGTCCATTTCTTTTACAGAAACTTAATCCTAAAATATATACAGGTTTTGAGAGGAGGAGGTGGGGACACAACCAAAATACCAACTGAAACACAGCTAATGTATAGACCTGTGTGCAGAGAAAAACTCCTGTAAGATTCAACTCAATAACCTCCTGCCACTGAGACTTCTTCATTCTCATCAACAAGGTATCGCGTGTGATACCTGAAAAGAAAAAATACGACAACTACTGATTGGACATTCTAACAAGACTTAACATAAAACACGAAAACTGTTGCTAACCTGCATTAACAAATATTGTTTCACTAGTATATTTGGGGTAAAGACACGTTCCTTTTTAAATAGAAAGTTGTACAGATTTCCAACCTTTTTACTTATCCAAAAAAAGTTGCACAGATTTGTTCAGATCCTTAATGCATCAACACAAATGTAAAGTTTATGGTACTATCTTGGAGCAAAATTAATGAAATAGTCTTTTTGACTTGCCTTCACACACACAAAAAAAAAAATGTTGCTAACCTGCATTATTGATCAAGATATCAACTGTTCCCCATCGATCAACCACCTACAGGTATGATATGATGAGGTGCATTTTAGCTGGCAACAACTGCGGTAAGATCCAATATTAATTCACATTACTAACAAAAGAGTGTGCTTACAGTTTTCATCATGGATTCTACAGCTTCTTCTTTTGAAACATCACCTCCAAAAGTCAAGGCTTGGCCACCACATGCTTCAATCTGCAAAATACAA